TTTCGTAAATAACAAGTTGGCGCCCCAGAGCCCGTCCACAGCATCTTTTTAAGTGGCATTATGCATTCGTGGTGTAAGCATCCTTGGTGTGCTTCAATCAGTGGCTTCAGTCGTGGCCAATGCGGGTCTCTTTGGGTGGCCTCAGGTCCTGCTGTCCTCATAGCTCCTGTTTCCTCGTCCATCTCCTGATCCACTTCCAGGCACAGCTGCTTCTACACACAGACTTCATTCTGCACCCGCGTGGTTTCCAGGCCGGCTTCCACTGATGGGGTTCCTTCCTTATCACGGGTCATATTTTCCTCTTTGCATGTCTGATAACTTTCAATTAGATGCAGGTGTTGTTCACTTTCCCTGTTGAGTTCTGAGTATATTTGCATTCCCACTAAATATCCCTGTGCTTTGCACTGTACAAAGTCAAGTTATCTGGAGACACATTGGTCCTCTCCAGTCTTCTGAGCTTTTGAGTCTGGACCAGCGCAGACTGCTCCTGTCCCACAGCTGACCGCCCTGCCTGGTGCCCCTGGGGCCATGAGGACATCCTGGGGCCGGTGGGAGCGTGAAGACTTCCAGCCCTGTTCTGCCAGCTTCTTTCTGGAGTCCTTCCCAGCTCCGGACAGCTCCCGCATGCCTGCTCCATCCTGGAGCTCTGGCTGTGGGGAGGCCCTCCTCTCTGTCCCTGCCCTGTGGACTCTGGTGCGTGGGCCTCCCTGACTCCCAGCTTTGCCTCCTCTGCACCAGCTCCTCTCCCTGAGTTGCAGCCAGGAGGCTTCCTTTAGGCCTCGCCCCATTCGCTCCTCTCTCAGGGACCATGTCCCATACTTCCTGATGCCCGGTGTCTGAAGATCATTGGATGTATTTTGTCCACTGTTTCAGCTGCTTTGGGAAAGAGGGTAAACTCACGCCCTGTACACACATGGCGATGGCACAGAGAATGAGGCTCTGAGCTTTGCCTCCACCTGGTGTGAAAATATGTTATCTTCTGGCTTTGCAGTCTGCGCTGCCCATCTCAGTTTTGATCTGCTTTGTAGTTCTACGTGTCTCATGAGGGAATTCAGGGAGATACAAAATTCTTGCTACTGTCACCATCTTCCCAGAATCCACAATTATTTATTTATTTATTTTATTTTGAGACAGGGTCTTCCTCCGTCATCTGGGCTGGAGTGCAGTGGTACAATCTCGGCTCACTGCAACTTCCACCTGCCAGGCTCAATCTATCCTCCCACCTCAACCTCCCAAGGAGCTGGGGCCACAGGACACACCACCACGCACCACCGTGGCCAGCTACTTGTTATTGTTGTTTTAGGAGAAACAGGGTTTCACCATGTTGCTCAGGCTGGTCTTGAACTCCTGGGTTCAAGTGATCCACCAGTCTTGGCCTCTCAAAGTGCTGGGGTCATAGGCGTGGGCCACTGCACCCGCCTATTTTTATTTTTTAACTTTTTATTTTTTTAAGAGATAGGGGCCAGGCATGGTGGCTCATGCCTGTAATCCCAGCACTTTGGGAGGCCGAGACAGGTGAACCACCTGAGGTTAGGAGTTTGAGACCAACATGGCCAACATGCCAAGACTCCATCTCTACTAAAAATTCAAAAATTAGCTGGGCGTGGTGGCTCATGCCTGTAATCCCGGCTACTAGAGAGAGGGTGAGGCAAGAGAATTGCTTGAACCTGGGAGGTAGAGGCTGCAGTGAGCCGAGATCGTGCCACTGCACTCCAGCCTAGGTGACAGTGTGAGACTGTATCGAAGAAAAAAAAAAAAGAGATGGGGTCTCACTATGTTATTCCAGGCTGGTCTCAAACTCCCGCGCCCAAGCAATCCTCCTGCCTCAGCCTCCCAAAGTGCTGGGACTACAGGTGTGAGCCGCACTGGCCTCCACAAAGCATTTTTAGCGCAGGCAAATGGGTAGAATGTTCAATGGTAAATGGGTAGAACTTCAGTAGTCTCTGCTCCGGGTAAATGGCAGCAGCTGTGTGCCCTTTTCTCATCTTGCAGGAGGGCATATCCTGGATACCGGAGGTCACTCTGTAACAGCATGTGGTGCCATCTGTCTCTTCTTTATCAGCTATCCAAGGTGTGGAGGTTTAAGAGTGTATCTGATTAACTGTGTGGATGGCCATGTTTTCAATTTTTCTGTTATACATTATGCTGCAATTAATAGTCTTGGTCACCCATCTTTTTTATTCCTGCCATTTATCTCTGGAATAAAGTCCTACTTGGGGGCTGCTGGGCTGAAAGATAAATGCCCATGTACTTTGCTGGATACTGTCAAACGCTCCTCTGCTCCCACCACTCACGTCTGAGAGCCCTGTTTCCTGACAGTCTTGCCAACAAGGTAAATGAGTGTCAGGGAGAGCCCTGGGCGGAGTGAGCTTGGAGAAGCAGGCAGAGGTGGGAGCAGCAGAGGTGGGAGCAGGGACCTCAGAGGAGGTCCTTATCATCATGTGCTGGGCGGAGCGCTCTCACCTGGATGTGATGGGACCTGCTGGTTGGCCACTCTGTTCAGGATAGACTAGGGGTAGGGGGCCCGGGGCTGTGGCACCAACTCCAGCAGGACAGGGTGGCTTTGGGCCAGAGCAGCCTTGGAAAGCCATGGCTGGATGATGGGAAGTTTCCAAGACAGAGCTGGCAGGACTTCCTGATGAACTGGAGGCTGGAAAACAGGAGGAACTGGGAACCAGTCCACATGTCTGTACCCCAGCAACAGAAAGGGTGGTGACAAAGGCAGTTGGATTTACCCCACAAAGTCCTGGAGCATTTGGTTGAGACATGGGGGTGGGAGCAGACGCCTGATGTGTTTAAGAGAGAACTCAAGGAGGGAAATTGGAGAAAAAGTTCCTGAAGAGTAATGCTGTGAAGACAGCAGAGAAGCACAGGGTCCAGAGAGCTCTTTCTGTTCTGCTCTGTCCTTAAGGATGGGCAGCCCCTCTGCAAGTTTGTGAGTGACTAGAATGATCCATCAGAGAGGCACCTGATAGCCCTAGATAGCCCTAGTGACTGGGCAGGTGGGGAGGGTGGACCAGCACCCTGGGGAAGGTTGGGGCTCCTCCGGGGGGGGACAGGGGCCTCCCCTCTCCCCCAGTCTGCTTGTGCCATGATTTTTGCCTCCTTTCTTTACAGCTCTGCTGAGGAATATGTACATGTATGTAACATGTACACACGCCTGAACTCACACAGGACAACACACACTGCCAACACCCTAGGCTTCTTTGGCCCCGATGCCCCCACCCTCAGGCCTTGGCTGAGTGAGGTCCCTGGAGGGTGCAGGTGGGAGACCTGGCTGGCTGCCGATGGGCCATGGATGGCCGGTGTGGGCATGAGAGGAAGAGGGTAGAGGACTCCAGGGTCTTGCCTCAGGACTGGCGGTGGGGGCTGGGGGGATGCTGGGGTACACAGCAGACTCAGAAGGGCCTGGGGAAGACATCCTGCCATGTGGCATTTGAGCTTCCTAATGACATTCAGCAGAAACAGAGCTGGACACAGGAGCCCAGGGCTCAGGGTCGAGGTCCGGGCACCACTGGCAGCCACCCAGGAGAGTAGTGGGCCGCCCAGAGGTAGGGTCTGAATCTCCCTGAGGAGGGGCCTGGGGCCTGGAGTGAGTTCTGAACTGCAGCTTTCTGCTCTGCCTCTTCCTGGGGCCACCACACACAGTCCAGGACTGTTCCTGGCCTGCTGGCCACACCCCCTTGCACTTCAGCACCCGTACCTTGCCCCTGCCCTCCTTCCAGGATGACCCTCCAGCCCTCCCCTCCACATCTGGGGCCTGCCTCCCCCAGCTGAAAACGGCAGTCAGGGCTCTTGTAGAGGGCCAGCACCCCAGCACCCCAATCCCAGACAGCCCTCTCCAATAGGCCCGTCCCCTGCACTGGGCCACCCCTTGGCTCCACGGAGCCCTCCCTGCCTCTCCTCCCGCGGGGGCGGCAGCGGCCACATTTAGTCCCTCCCCTTCACAGCAGCACACCTGGGAATGCTGTGCACATTCACATCTCTGCTTTCTGCCCTCCTCCCACCCCAATAACGCACCTACCCAGTGCTGGAGGTTTCAGCAGGCCACCAGCCCTTCTCAGGCCCCTCTCAGCGCGGACTCAAGCTGCTTCCCCACGCCCTGCGCCATACCTGGGCCCTGGGCCGCCAGCCCGGTGGCTGCGCCCGGGATCCGACTCTGGACTTCTCTATGTGGACGGTCGCAGGGGCACTCCCTCAGATCCCCTCTCCAGGCGGCACGAGCTAAGGACTCCCCACTCCTGCTCCACGCCCGCACCCCACAGCCTCGCAGCGACTCCCCCTGGGCCTGCAGGGCCTCGCCTCTCTCCACGCACCCTCCACACCGCCCAGTGCCCCCGCCGCCCGGAACCTCGGTAGTCTAGCTTCCCAACCAACACCCAGCCTGCCCTCACGTCCTGGGCCACCCGCCCAGACCCCGCAAACCTGGAGACACTAGGACCCCGCGCGACTGCACGCCCGCCTCAAACCCGCACGCGCCCGCCCAGTCCGTCCTGAAGCTAGGCATAACCCTAAATGCAAGCCTATCCCTAGACCAGACCCTAACCCCTGACCCTGACCCCACCCCTAATCCTGATCCTAACCGTAAAACCAACCCTAACCCCTAATGCTGACCCGAACCCTAAACCCAGTCCTAACCCTGACTCTAACCCCTAACCCTGACCCTAACCCCGACCCCTAACCCTGCCGGGAGGGCGCTCAGTCCCGGCTCCCAGAAAGGACAGCAGCACCCGGACCGGACGGCACCCCCGGAGGGACCCAGACTTGAGGACTCTGCTGCTCCAGCGCCCCAGCTCACGATCTTCCAGGACCAGGCGGGTCCCTCAGCGCAGCGCGTCCCTGTCGCTCTCCTGACCACGCCCCTCGTGTCCCCGCCCTATTCCCCGCCCCTGCCCCTCGCGCCCGGCGGGTCCCTTGCCCGAGTCCAGGCCCGACGCGCCTGCGCCCTCTGACCACGCCCCTCCCCGCCTCTATCCCCGCCCTTATCACTCGGCCCCGCCCACGCCCCTTGCGGCGGGGTGGGAGCCCAGCCGCACACCGCGCATGCTCCGAGCGCGGCGCCCCCGACGCGGCGTTCGGCTCGGCTCGGGCATTTCCGCCTCTTTGTTTTAAACTCCGGACGGGCTTTTTTTCTCCTCCTCTTGGGGGGGACCCAGAGGGAGCGGCGCCCCCTCCCCCCCCTCCGGCGCGGACCCCGCGTGCGCCTTGCTCGCCCGCAGCCCCGAGACCGCAGGTCAGTGAGTCCGCCCTGCCTGGCCTGGGCCCGCGGCGCCCGCTCCTCAGGCTGCGGCCTCGGCCCGTGTCCGGCCCGGAAGGCTCCGAACCCCGGGCCCGCGCTCTGGCGTCCCCGTCGGCCTGGCCCGGGAAGCCCTTGGCAGGCCCCGGAGAGGGCTGGAGCCCAGGAGGGCCGGCACCCCAGCCCAGGAAGGACTCCGGGAGGTCGAAGATCCCAGCCCAGGCAGGACCCCGGGAGGGCCGGGACTTCAGCCCAAGCAGGATCCCGGGAGGGCCAAGACCCCAGCCCAGGCAGGACCCCGGGAGGGCTGGGACTCCAGCCCAGGAAGGACTCCGGGAGGTCGAAGACCCCAGCCCAGGCAGGGCTCCGGGAGGTCGAAGACTCCAGCCCAGGCAGGACCCAGGGAGGTCCAAGACCCCAGCCCAGGCAGGAGCCCGGGAGGTCCAAGACCCCAGCACAGGCAGAACCCCGGGAGGGCTGGGACTGCAGCCCAGGCAGGACGCAGGGATGGCAGGACCCCGGAATGGCTGGGATCGCAGCTCAGGCAGGACGCAGGGAGGTCAAGACCCCAGCCCAGGCAGGGCGCAGGGAGGGCCAAGACCCCAGCCCAGGCAGGACCGCGGGAGGGCCAAGACCCCAGCCCAGGCAGGACCGCGGGAGGGCCAAGACCCCAGCCCAGGCAGGACCGCGGGAGGGCCAAGACCCCAGCCGGGCAGCAGGACACGGGAGGGCCAAGACCCCCAGCCCAGGCAGGCCAGGGGAAGGCCAGAGACCCCAGGCCCAGGCAGGACCGCGGGAGGGCCAAGACCCCAGCCCAGGCAGGACGCAGGGAAGGCCAAGACCCCAGCCCAGGCAGGACCCCGGGAGGGCTGGGTCCTTAGACCAGGCAGGACCTGAAGAGAGTTGGGCTCTGGGACTGCCAGGACCCCCAGAGTGCCAGGACACTATGACAGGTCATCCGGGAGGGTCTGACCCTGGGACAGGTCACCGAGAAGGGCTGGGACCCCAAGATGGGTCACCAAGGAGGATCGGACCTGGCCACCTGGCAGGGCCCAGGGAGGGCTAGGACCCTGGGAAGAATCACGGAGAAGGGCCAGATCTAGGGACCAGGCAGAACCCAAAGAATGCCGGGACCCCAGAATAGGTTCCCCAGGAAGGTCCTGCCTTAATGTGGGTCGCAGACGAGGGCCAGGACCCCATGACCATCACTCAGGAGGACCTGACCCTGGAGCAGTCCTGTGAGTCCTGTGAGCACTGCTCAGACCCTGAGACCACCCCATCTCCTCTGAGGGGCTGGGACCCTGAGACAGCCCTATCTCCCCCGGAGGCTCGGACCCTGAGACAACCCTGTCTCCCCTGGAGGCTCAGACCCTGAGACCACCCCATCTCGTCTGGAGACTCAGACCCTGAGACAGCCCTGTCTCCTCCGGAGGCTCGGACCCTGAGACAGCCCTGTCTCCCCCGGAGGCTCGGACCCTGAGACAGCCCTGTCTCCCCCGGAGGCTCGGACCCTGAGACAGCCCTGTCTCCCCCGGAGGCTCAGACCCTGAGACAACCTTGTCTCCCCCCTCGGAGGCTCAGACCCTGAGACAGCCTTGTCTCCCCCGGAGGCTGGGACCCTGAGACAGCCCTGTCTTCCCCCGGGAGCCAGGACCCTGAGACTGGACAGAGACAAGGGCTCCTGACATGGACAGGCTCCTAGATGACCAGGACCTCAAATGGGGTCACTTAGGGTCAGGACACTGGTGTGGACAGGGAAGAAGGCTAGGCTCTCAAGGAGGACCTGATGAGAGCTGGAACTTCCAGACAGGTCCTCAGAGGGTGGGGACTCTTGAACAAGTCACTGAGGAGAATGTAGACCCCAAGACTAGACTATAGGGAGTACTGGGACCCTGGAGGGGGGTTCCTGCAGTGTCCTGAATATGCCCAGCCCCCTCAGCTGGACGCACCTGCTGTGAAGGCCAGGCATCTGGCATCCTGGTACCTGAGGCCCTTTCCATGAGACCCTGGGCCAACCCCACAGCCCCTGCACACAAACTGCCTAGGTGGTTCCTGGGGCAGGTATGAGCCAGGGGCTTCAGGGTTCCAGGAGCTCTCAGCCTACAGGCTCCATGCCTCAGGGTGGCACTGTGCTCTCCCCTCTCAGCCCCTTGTCCAGGGCTGCTGTCCTGTCCTTGCCTTGGCCATGGTCCGTGTCCAACACCTTCAACCCCTCCTGCCCCTCTCCCCATCTTCAAGGTCACGTGAGTGCCCCGCTTCCTCAGTATAGAGGCGCTTCCTGTGTCCGGGAGACTCGGAGGAGAGGTGGAGTCTGAGCTGGGATGTGGAATCCTGGGCATATTTTGGGGACAGTTGGTCCAAGTCAGGAAAGCTGGAGCAGGCAAGGCTGTTTCCCACTCCCTCTCCAGTAAGGGAAGGAATTAAAGGATCCTGGTGGTGGTGGTAGGGGGGGTGGTTTATTTCTCTGAAACCTTTGAATCAGCGTTTCATCGAGAACTTGTGGGTGTTTTCCTTTAATTTGGAAGTGGTAATGAAAAAGGGGTGCAGTTTTTATACTGCATGAGGTATTCAGAAGCGAGCGATCTATGCTGTCCTTTGACTAGGGAAGGGTTGTCTAGTGAGATCTTGTCAAGGGTGTTTCAAGAAGGTGGTCATCCCAGGAACCCCGCTCCCAGAGGGCGCCGTGTGGCTGCTTGGTGTGCCGCACATTTTCCAGAAGAGTGAATGATGCATGAACGAGTGAATGAAAGGCAGGGTCGCTCTTCAGGCACATCCCCTCAGATTAGGCATGCGGGCTTGCCTGGAAGTTGGGCAATAAGATGAGGTATAACCCTAAAACTCTGAGCTATCTGGACTCCCAAGAGAGACACTGTGAATTAGATGGTTCGGGATTTCATCTCTGCTACAGCTTCACTTCTTGGTTACTTAGGAGAAAACCGTGTTAGGTTTTCAGCTTAACATTTCGGGGTACTCAGTGTCAGCCACATTGCATCCCTGCGTGGTCACCCTGGGCCTAGAAGCTTTTACTCGCCCAGTGTAACCGCCAGGGACCTTTTTACTTAACATTTCCTTCCGATTTGCTCTTTTGACATATCCTTTACTGGTTTTTAAACTTCATTTGCTTTGTGAAATTGTGGAGAGGCTTGTGAAGCTGAGTGTTCAGGTTTGTTTGGGTCTGTGCTGTCTGGTTCCCAGGTTTTTAGAGGTGTGGCTGTGCTGAGTGGCTGTATTATTTATATATTGCTGTGCGGCGGATTACCCCGGAACCCATGACTTAAACCAACAGTCCGAAAGTATCTTACTGTTTCTGTGGGTCAGGATTGCAGGCAGGCTGTGGCTCAGGGACCTCCCATCTGGGGTTGTGTCTCCTCTGAAGGCTGGACTGGGGAGGGTCTGCATCCAGGCTGCATCATGTGACTGTGGGCTGGAGACCTCAGTTCCTTTCTCTACATGGCAGCTCTGAGGGAGCCCATGCCAAGTCAGAGAGGGACAGGAAGGACGTCCCAGTCTTTGTGGAGTGACATTCTACCACTTTTGCCAAATTCTCTTTGCCAGGAGTCATTAGGCCCCTACACACTTGAGGGGAGGGGACTCCAAAACGGTGAGCATACGATGGGCAGATGGGGTCACTGGAACACCTTAAAGCCTGCACAGCGCGGCGGTGCTGTGAGCCTGGCACCTGTCAGGGCACCGGAGAGACTTCCTGTAAGTAAATCAGCGATTGCATGTGGAGTCACGTATTAAGACGAGGATGTGACCATTCAGCTGTCTCTTTAATTGGTGCGGGTTTCTCCAGTGTCACCGTCATGACTGAGATATTTGTGATATGTAAAGGAAGATAAATTACAGATAGAAAAGATTCTTAGGAATTAACTTGTAATTTGGAATACCAGTAGCAAGCCATAAGACCCCCACAAATTAAATTGCAGGGTGTGTGTCACTGATGTTAAATTCTTTCTGACAGCTTCGGGTGCAGTGATTGTACTTGTTCCCAGAGTCCCCTCATTTTCTTCATGCCAGTGATTTTGCTCCAGAAATTATCAACCGACTTCTGTTAAGTTTTCCTAAACCATTTTAAATATGTGGGGGAAATGTTTTTACTGGTTACGGTAGACCTTGTGCACGCGGTTATTTGTGACTTCATAAAAATGCTGTGGGAGACATGAGACCCTGACCATGTTGGACATTTGACCTGTGTGAGGACTTAACTCCAGGGTCGAGGCACTACTGCGAGCCAGAGCCTCTGCTCCCAGCAGCCACCCTCCGCTCCACAGGGAGCCGGACCCCATGCCTCCCTCGGGTTCTGGGCTGGAGCGAGGGCCGGGAAGGGGACCTGTCCTGGACTCTGGAGACCTCAGCCGCCCCCTCCCACCACGCTGCCCTCTCTAGATCGTCAGCGGCTGTGACAAAATCAAGGAGCTGCAGGGTGCGGCAGGGGCCCTTTGCCACAGGCTAGAATTGTTTACTTGGGTTTTTTGATTTGGATTATAAAGTGAGCCTTGTTTTGATGTATACTGTTACTCTTTATTAAATGGCAGGATTTATTTTGTTTGCAGCCTTGTTTGGTTTATGGTTAGAATTGAAGTTGAAAATGTAATTTTTCTTTTTTTCTTTTTTTTTTTTTTTTTGAGACGGAGTCTGGCTCTGTCGCCCAGGCTGGAGTGCAGTGGCCGGATCTCAGCTCACTGCAAGCTCCGCCTCCCGGGTTTACGCCATTCTCCTGCCTCAGCCTCCCGAGTAGCTGGGACTACAGGCGCCGCCACCACGCCCGGCTAGTTTTTTGTATTTTTTAGTAGAGATGGGGTTTCACCATGTTAGCCAGGATGGTCTCGATCTCCTGACCTCTTGATCCTCCCGTCTCGGCCTCCCAAAGTGCTGGGATTACAGGCTTGAGCCACCGCGCCCGGCCAAAAATGTAATTTTTCTACAGAATTAGCCAAGCGTGTGTAATTTTTCTGCAAAAATTAGCTGGGCAAGGTGGCAGGTACCTGTAATCC